GCGCACAGCTGCAGATTTTTGGAGTTAATCCAAGTTAAGATTTTCGCCAGGGCCAGCGGACCTTAGCAAACACATAAACGTCTATAACACAGCTATGTTTCATAGATACAGTCAATAAGGATCATCTCTTCCAGGAGGACGTATTGACCATGGACACCACGAGGGCAAGGCCAAGCAGGCTTTGCATGAAGCTGTGGAAATGGATCGGGCCATTGGTCGGGCTGATCTCCTGACCAGCACCCATGATACACTGACAGTAGTGACTGCTGACCATTCTCACGTGTTTAGCTTTGGAGGCTATACATACAGAGGAAATCCAATATTTGGTATGAATACTACATAAATACTAGGTACCTGCATTAGATTTTAAGCTTTTATTTTGTTTTTTGCATGATTTTAATCTAAACTTCATTTATAGGTTTGGCCCCGATGCTGAGTGATATTGATCAGAAACCTTTCACCTCCATTTTATATGGAAACGGACCTGGTTACAAAACGGTCAATGGAACAAGAGAGAATGTTTCAACTATTAACTACAGTGAGTTCTAGTATTAAAAATGACCTTAAACAATATTTACACGTATTTTAGGCGAAGAGAAAAATGTTAAGGTTAATTACTTCCTCTGTCTTTTCAGTGGAAGACAACTACCAGGCCCAGGCAGCTATACCTTTGACCTCAGAGACTCATGGAGGAGAGGATGTAGCTGTGTTTGCCAAGGGTCCCATGGCTCACCTGCTACACGGGGTCCACGAGCAGAACTACATCCCCCATGTAATGGCATACGCAGCCTGCATCGGCCAAAACCTGGACCACTGCAACCCGACTGGTGGAACGGTCCGGTTGCAACCAGTCCTCTCAAGCTTTGCAGCCGTTCTCGCAGCAACTCAACTTCTGTGCTGATTTTACCTGCCGATCTCTTTCTAGTCTCTCACGTTAGGATTTTAATGTTTAGTTTTTGTCAGTTTTTCTCAAGTCTCTGTAAAAATATGATGTTTTGGGACCTTTGAACGACATATTTTTTGTGATAAATGCATAAAACACTCAAGGGATTTGAAACGCACCACAC